GGATGGGGAGCTGGGAGCAGCCACAGCGGAGGGGATCGAGGGCGGTTCGGCCCCAGGGCACCCCCCTGGGAGCCCTCGTCCCCCAGGAGCATCCTCAGACCAGCTCCGAGGGACACCCCAGGAGGCGGATGCAGGTAAGGGGGTGGGAGGTGCTGGGTGGGGATGGGATCAGCAAAACCAGGGGCAGGCGACGGGCAGGAGCCAGACTTGGGTGCCTCGAGCATCCCAAAACAACCTGGGTGTTAAATTCCGGGGAGTAGCTGGGCTCCAGAAATCAAGAGAAATAGCAACTGCATGCAAACCTTTCCAAGAACTCAAAGGACTGAATCTGCCAAAAACGCCATTTAAAAAAAAAAAAAAAAACCACACAGCTGACAGATTTCTGCAATATCTTGGGAAATAAAGTTCCCTTTTAACGCAGAAGGTCCCCGGCCACCTCAGGGTACCGGCTGCCAGCCCAGAGTCTGTGCCCATCCTTCCCGCGGCCATCGGCGCGGTGACGCAAAATTTTGCGGTGACGCAACTGCAGAATTCAGTGCAGGCGACAACATTTCACTGCAGAAGCAACACAGTGAAAATCACACTCAGAAACAATTTTTTTTTTTTTTTTTTGCCCACTGCCTCTCTTATTGTAGCCGGAGCTGCGGGAGGGGACTCAGCTTTTCCCTGCCCTGGGCTGAGCTGCGACGGCCAAAAAAGCAATTTGGAGCTCTCCAGCGACCGGCTCTTGCTTGCTAAGAGAGCCCTTGCCAGGGGAATGTTGGCTTTAGGTCTCAAGTCTATTAAAAGAAGCTGCTACAAAAAAGCAAGTTGGGAAACGGCTGCTCAGGTTGGTTATTAGGAAAATCGTTAAAAGCCATCGCAAATCTCCCCGAAAGCGGCGAGCGTCAATCAGCGCAGCTCCGGGGCTGTCAGTGGGGCTCCAGTGATTTACACGAGCTGGGAGTGAAGCCCGTTGTTTGTATCTTCAGCATTATGTTCGCATCTTAAGAAAATATGCTAAGAAATGACTGAAAGGGGGGAAAAAAAAAAAAAATTGGCCTATTTCCATCCCAAGTTGGGTAATACACAAACTGCATAAATACATCGAGTTGAGAAGTTTTAAGAGTTTTAGGTGATGCTTTCCAGGGAGCTCAGCACCTTTCTGGGTCGTGGCTCAAGTGACTGAAAAATAAATAATTTGGAGGCAAACCCTGAGAGTCACCATCCCAGCCCAGGTAAAGCCAGGCCTGAAGGTTTCAAAATCTGCCCCGAAGTTTCTTGGCATTGCCTTTGAGTGGTGAAAAAAAAAAATAAAAAAAAGTTAAAGGAATTTCTTTCCAGCGCTTCCTACCTGCAGCCTGCTTCCAGCTGCGCAGGTTTCCCATTCCTGAGCTTTTCTCCATAGCTTGAGCACAGAAACTTGCTTTCTCTGGGGATCAGGATTTTTCCATAGGCATAGGAGGACGTTTCAAAGAAATATCTTAAAGTAGGAATTCTGCAAGAAAAATCTCAAGAGCCGTCGATGCCGTAACGTCTGTAACAACCCTACCGTGAGGTTTTGGGTAAACATTGCAAAATATCCCTTTCTGTGTTATTTCACTCCCTTGAATGTGTGTTCGTGTTGAATGGATGCTTAGATGAATGAAAAAAAGGATGATTCAGAAAGAAAAAACTCCTTTATATGGCTTCAAGACAGTGAAATGAAAATATTTCCAATATAATATGAATATTTTGCTCTCTGGAAGGGAAAAAAACCAAGCGATTCAGGCAATTTCTAACTCTCATCTTTTTCCTTTCACAGATGCCACGGCGGTGACCCCCCTGTCCGACTGTGCCCCCCCTCTGCCAGCCCTGCCCATCGCCCCGCGTCCCCCCAAGCCGGCGAAGCGCTCGCGGGCGGCGTTCTCCCACACCCAAGTCATCGAACTGGAGCGAAAATTCAGCCATCAAAAATACCTCTCGGCTCCCGAGCGAGCCCACCTGGCCAAAAACCTGCAGCTCACCGAGACCCAGGTGAAAATCTGGTTCCAGAACAGGAGGTATAAAACCAAAAGGAAACAAATCGCTTCGGAAATCAGCAGATGGGACATGCGGCTGGGTGGGCAGAAAGCGACCGAGATGCCCGGAGCATTTGCCCGCCCGCCCCCTGCCTCTACTACTTGAACGGCTGGAGTCCTTCCTGGTGGTAACCGCTTTTTTTAAGCAGAAAGCATCCTTTTATCTTCTTCTTTTTTTTTTTTTTTTTAATATTACGTGGCTTTTTCTAGCGCTGATTAGGAGGGGGATCCCCATCCAAAGTGATGCTCAGCATCTTCGGGTTGGCACACAAGCGTTTCTTGTTGCTAACAG